GGGCTAAAAGTGTTAAAAACCGGAATTCTCCTTTAACTGACTAAGGTTTCTATCATTACATTTGATTTTATTTGTTCCTGCTCCCAGTGGTTGGACCCTATATTCCATGGATTCTTGTGAGTGTAGTCTTTGTTCACTTTACAATAAAAAATAAATAAATAAACAGTTTTGAAAACTTCGGTATGCATTTTTTTCCTGCTTTGTGCATCAAATTTCACGGTTGCTAAGCAACAGAGCTTACGGCGGTAAAACCCACCGAAGGGTAGACCTGGTCGAATTCACAGCCAGAACTCTTCTGGTCTCCTTATTTTCAAGGACTTCTAAGGATCCAGTCTAGGTAGACCGAGTCCTTGGAGGATGCAGCCCAGGTTTTCAAACAGAGCCAGTGTCTCTGTGGAGCTGGTGCCTACCTCCAGCTCTCTGTCTCTGCCTTCAGATATGGAAAGTCGCTCTCAAGCTTCCTTCTTTGGTTGCTGAAATTAGTTTTTCATTAATGACAATGGGGAAAAAAAATCCTGAACCAACTCTCCACAGAGAAATATTTAATGACATTGATTGATTGACTTTAATGATCTCAGAGTGGAGAAATGTAGTCGTTACATCAGCTCAAATAGTATAGTAAATACAGTGCGTCCACATATGACAGCTTTTTTTAATAGTAGGATCATTATACAGAGTTATTGCACAGGGTGTTTATAGGGGTATTTATATAGATGGATATTTATATTTACATATATAGTTTTTGCACTTGGTGTCAAATATAGAGAAACAGGTTACGTGCTCCGGTCTGGGTTCTGAAACAATCCCTTGGTTTCTCACTGGCCTCATCTGACCAAACTTCTTCTTCACTGTTGTCCTTCTGACCACTGGTCACCACTGCATGTTTGAAGAACAAGAAAGAGACATACATGACAATGAAGAAAACATCTCCCACTATCTTCCATTCTCTGTAAACCAGTCTACCGTCAGTCTGCAAAGATCCTGGTCTGTCAGCAGATCCCAGATCTCTGTCATTCACAGTATTATCATAGTGTTTTCTGCAGAAATTGAGCTTTAGTTATGAGACCATAACAGGCTGTTTCTGAACTGATTTTAGCTGCACTATGTGTACAAGGGAGTGAAATGTATTTATTTATGAGAGAATTTACCCAAATAAAATCTGGATCACGTACCTGTTGATGTTGAAATGCTACCTTTTTAAAAATTTGAATTTAATTCCAAGAGATAGTGGGTATCACACATCATGGTGCTTCTATATATCCAAGCAGAAAGGACAAGAAACATTTCTAACCTAAAACCAACAGTGTAAAGGTTGGAAATCAGCTTCTCCACTGGAACAGACTGTTTATGCAGCCTGTAGACAAAAGGCAGATATAGGGAAGCAATCAGGTTAAATTCTGACAAACGGGGTCTATAACACAGATAATAGGAGAGATTAGGTGGCTGCATGGTTGCCCGATTAAAATGAACAAACAAAACTAATAGGTCAGAATATCTTTCCTCATCTCTGGCCTCGGATCTATCAAAAACGTGTATGATGTAGGTGAATAATGTGAAATATAGTCTGAAACTGAAGTTTTGTGATCAAAGACATCATTGTGAGCAGGCAGCATCTAAAAGCATCTAAATCTGCAGAGTCCTGAAGGTTGTGATCCAGGTGGATCTGGAAGAATATGGACTGTAAAACACCTGTTTAAGTCTTCAGACATGCCTGTAATCTGTGTAATAGATTAGCTTCATCTGGATTTATAGACAGATATAGCTGGGTATCATCAGCATCACGGTGGAAATTAATCCCATGCTGTCTAATAACTCTACCGATTGGGAGCATGTACAGGTGCTGGTCATAAAATTAGAATATCATGAAAAAGTAGATAGATTTCAGTAATTCCATTTAAAAAGTGAAACTTGTATATTATATGCATACATTACATACAAACTCATATATTTCAGATGTTTATTTTGTTTAATTTTGATGATTACAAATGACAACAAATGAAAATCCCAAATTCATCATATCAGAAAATTAGAATATTACTGAAGACCAATAAAAACAAAGGATTTATAGAAATGTTGGCCAACTGAAAAGTATGAACATGAAAAGTATGAGCATGTACAGCACTCAGTATTTAGTTGGGCCTCCTTTGGCCTGTATTACTGCAGCAATGCGGCGTGGCATGGAGTCGATCAGTCTGTGGCACTGCTCAGGTGTTATGATAGCCCAGGTTGCTCTAATAGTGGCTTTTAGCTCTTCTGAATTGTTGGGTCTGGTGTATTGCATCTTCTTCTTCACAATACCCCATAGATTTTCTATGGGGTTAAGGTCAGGAGAGTTTGCTGGCCAATTAAGAACAGGGATACCATGGTCCTTCAACCAGGTACTGGTAGCTTTGGCACTGTGTGCAGGTGCCAAGTCCTGTTGGAAAATGAAATCTGCATCTCCAAAAAGTTGGTCAGCTGCAGGAAGCATGAAGTGCTCTAAAACTTCCTGGTATGTGGCTGCGTTGACCCTGGACCTCAGAAAACACAATGGACCAACACCAGCAGATGACATGGCACCCCAAACCATCACTGACTGTGGAAACTTTACACTGGACTTCAAGCAACGTGGATGAAGTGCCTCTCTTCTTTTCCTCCAGACTCTGGGACCTTGATTTCCAAAGGAAATGCAAAATTTACTTTCATCAGAGAACATGACTTTGGACCACTCACCAGCAGTCCAGTCCTGTTTCTCTTTAGCCCAGGCAAGACGCTTCTGACGCTGTCTGTGGTTCAAGAGTGGCTTGACAAGAGGAATGCGACAGCAGAAACCCATGTCTTTCATACGTCTGTGTGTGGTGGTTCTTGAAGCACTCACTCCAGCTGCAGTCCACTCTTTGTGAATCTCCCCCACATTTTTGAATGGGTTTTGTTTCACAATCCTCTCCAGGGTGCGGTTATCTCTCTTGCTTGTACACTTCTTTCGACCACATCTTTTCCTTCCCTTCGCCTCTCTATTAATGTGCTTGGACACTGAGCTCTGTGAACAGCCAGCCTCTTTAGCGATGACCTTTTGTGTCTTGCCCTCCTTGTGCAAGGTGTCGATGGTCGTCTTTTGGACAACTGTCAAGTCAGCAGTCTTCCCCATGATTGTGTAGCCTATAGAACTAGACTGAAAGACCATTTAAAGGCTTTTGCAGGTGGTTTGAGTTAATTAGCTGATTAGAGTGTGGCACCAGGGGCCATCAATTTTGAACCTTTTCACAATATTCTAATTTTCTGATATGATGAATTTGAGATTTTCATTTGTTGTCATTTGTAATCATCAAAATTAAACAAAATAAACATCTGAAATATATGAGTTTGTATGTAATGTATGAATATAATATACAAGTTTCACTTTTTAAATGGAATTACTGAAATCAATCTACTTTTTCATGATATTCTAATTTTATGACCAGCACCTGTATAGTAAGTAAAGAGAAGTGGTCCTAGCACTGATCCCTGTGGTACTCCACAGGTAACCTTTGAGCATGGTGAAGATTTATCATTAAGGTAAACAAACTGAAATCGATCAGATAGATAAGATTCAAACCATTCTAGCGCTGTTCCTTTAATTCCTTTAAAATATTCAAGTCTTTCTAAAATAATATTATGACCAACTATATCAAATGCAGCACTAAGATCTAACAGGACAAGTACAGATATAAGTCCATTATCGGAGGCCATGAGAATATCAGTTCTGGTAATTCACGGTAGATCTTACCCTCATCTTAATGGCTCTTGGAATACTGGTCCTCAGTATAAATATTAATATGGTTTAACAAACTTTATCTGATGCCTCCTTCATTGGAGTTTCTTCAATTGGTCTGGTCAAATTTCTTTTTCTTCGTGTCTTTAGAGCATTTTAATTTGGTTTGGTCAAATATCTTTTTCTTCATCAGTGAAAATAAGTATCCTCCTCTTGAGTGATATGGCTGAGTTTATGGATGCACGATATTGGGATTTTGGCCGATATCCGATGTGCCGATATTTTAAAACTCATGTAGCTGATAACCGATATCGATACCGATGTTAAAGCTGGACAAAAATAAGTAGTCATTGAAAATAGCAGTTTTGTTATCCATTTCTGATAATATACTCAAATATATTTTCATATGCTGATATCAAATCGATTTTTAAAAACGCGGTATCAATCTATTTTACTTTCATAATCTTGTGAAATTTCATCGTTCTGTTACAAACTCTCGTGATATTTTGCAAATTCTTGTGAGATTTTGTTAGTAAAATAGATCGTTGCCGCGTCAATATATCAACATATAAAAATATGGCAAAATTTCGTGAATTTTCGGGGGATTTCGTAGCATAGCGATGACATATAGCAATATTTCATTAGTAAGAGATTGATATGGTGTTTTTAAAATGGCAATTAATCGGCATATGAAGATATTGGGATATTTTAATGTATCAATATTTTTTCCGTCATCTTTAGAAGTTTTTAAGTCGTTAAAAAAGAAGTTTTTGAGGAAGAAGAAGAAGTAGTATATTTTTTTATTTTTTAGACTTTAAAAACTCAGAAGCTGATCAAATATCGGGTTAAATATCTATGGGGTGGCCGATGTCCGATATTCAGTTTTAAGGCCGATACAGGCCTATACCGATAGGGGGCCGATTATATCGTGCATCCCTAGCTGAGTTACTTTGCTAAAATCAGCTCAACCTCTGACACATTGAGCTGTGGTATGTCTCTTCCAGGCAGAGGTGTACAGGAAGCACTGCTGAGTTTAGGGTGTCTCATTACTTCCTCATTTGCCAGACAGTCACTGTGGTGCTGGATGTAAATGCTTTACTTTCCTTAATAATTGCTTGTGGTGAAATAAATTTAGGCCAGAATGAACTTCAGGTTGCTTGATAGGATCCACTCGCTCCTGAACCTCAAGGAGAGAGTTTGGTGCTTTTATGTGAGGTGTCCTTTATTTAACCACCAATAGAACGCCTTTTTGCTGTGTTTATCTTTCCAGACCGCCTGCAGGATTATGTTGGAAAAGAGGAGGATTTCTCTGACCAGCAGCTCTGTGGACAGGAGAGGAAATCCAGTTTGGACCAAGAGGAGTCGGAACATCCGCAGATAAAAGAAGAGCAGCAAGAACCAGAACATCCCTGGACAAAAGAGGAAACCATGGAGCTCCCCATAAGTGAGCAGGAAGAGCAGCTTGTTCTCAAGCAGGAGACTGAAGACAAACCTTTCCCATGTTTGACATGTGGAGAAAACTTTTTAAAAACAGAACTTTTAATGGATCACATGAGAACTTACACAGGTAAAAATATTTATGAATGTCAATCCTGTGGCAAAATGTTCACAAAGAAATCAGTATTGATGGGAACATCAGAATTCAAAGCCAACTAAAAACCTCTTAAAGGGGAACGCTATTTGTTTTATATTGGGCCCTTGATTTTATGTTATTACATCATGTTCTACTCACCCATAGGAGTTCTGTGTCATTTGGAGCTGTTCTGAAGATATTCCGTTAGGTTATATCCAAGTAACGTCTTCCTATGGGCAACGACGTGAAGGCACAAACTAAACTGTTCATGATTTATCATTTATGATACGGCGGCATAACATGTAGGCGAATCACTGTCCCCCAGACATCCGCGGTTAGATTTTTTATATTTATATAAACCACCGGTTTTGCCAGCATCATTTTCCATCTGTTTCCTTTTGATTAAAAAAAGATTGTCTACACGTCCTCCTTCACTAAAACAGTGGCCATTTTATGACACTTGATCATCAATGTGCAAGAGCTTAGAGAGCAGCAGGTGAGGCAATTCTCAGCAGGCATGCTGCTCTTCTTCTCGTAACACCGGTTCAGTGAAAAGCTAAAGGGCTATTCCACCTGTTTTATTACAGCCTTAAGTGTTGTTAATCTGCTCTTCAATTGAAATCTATAGCAATCAGACACTTTAAACCTGGTTTATATTATTCCAAGATAGAAAAAGAATTTTTAAAACTCTCTTTGGTTTTGACAAAGTTTTTCTGCCTTGTGAAACTTTAGAAAGAGCGCTGAAAGGGCTTTTTGTTTTGCTTCAGGGTCACATATTAACAAGGTATAATCCAGATTAAAACACGTAGTTCAATTTAGTTCTTGCACCGTATCAATCTGGGTATCTTTCTGTAGAACATGTTAACAAAAGGGAGGATCATTCAGTACAAGTCCTGGAGCTTATTGGGTATCCACCTCCCAAGTCAAGCTTTTAGCCAATCACAGGTGAGACGTATCAGGTTCTTGATTTGTTTTATGGTGTTAACTGATAAATCAAATTCTTACCAAATCTGGTTGAGAGGAAAACAAAAACATATTTTCCATGCACAAAGGCAAAAATCGTGTCCTTTCACGAATTTTTCTAAAAGAAATGGAAGGTATTCTAGCTAAAAAAGGAGCAGACATATTTGTTTTCTTTAGCCTTCTGCCTCTGGTGAACATGTCGTCATACAGGTCTCTGCATTTCAGATTGTTCAAAAGAAACAATTGGCTTTGTCATATTTCTATTGTCATCCTCTGATATCTAAATGCTTTAGACTTCAGGTGTATCACAGTGATACACAGTTGCTTCACGTTAGAATGAGTCATTAAATAGGAGGAGCTTGAGCAGCATGAATCTTTCTCACAAGAATAACAAATGGTTTAACAGGAATCTAGTGTGGATTAGTTTTTACTCTAGGTTTCAGAGTGAAGTAGAAATAAACTGGGGAGGGAAAAGATTGAACTTGTTTTGTGATTGAAGTTAACATTTCTTCTGTAGAATAATGTCCATAAAAATGTCATCTATGTCAATATCACCCTGCTTTTCTTAAAATGTTCTGCATTACCCACATTGTGTCTTAAGAGGTGCATTCTGTCCTTTTACAATCCTTTTAAATCGTTTTCTACTTATTTTGTCTAAAAAGTCAGAAAGTTTACACTCTAGCTCTGCACAGAGGTCAGCAAAGACAGAATGCTAGATAAAGAGCTGGATCAGACCAGAATGGGATGCAGCTCTGGCTTTCTGGAGAGCACCTCCCTTTTATTTTGGCCCTCTGTGATGCACAAATGTAGTTCCAGTCTGTTTGCATGTAGTTAGATCAACAAAAGGATGATTCAAGTCAGGTGTCCTTTCTTTAACCCATGATAGAAATTCTTTCTGCTGTGTTTGTCTTTCCAGACTGCTTTCAAGGTTATGTTGGGAAAGAGGAGGATTTATCTGACCAGCAGCTCTATGAACAGGAGAGGAATTTCAGTTTGGACCAAGAGGAACCAGAAGCTCTGCAGATAAAAGAAGAGCAGAAAGAACCAGAACATCCCTGGACAAAAGAGGAAACCATGGAGCTCCCCATAAGTGAGCATGAAGAGCAGCTTGTTCTGAAGCAAGAGACTGAAGATACAGTAGAGAAATGTTTACCATGTTTGACATGTGGAGAAAACCTTCTGAAAAAAGAACATTTATTGGATCACATGAAAAGTCACGCAGGTCAGATTTATCAATGTCAATCCTGTGGCAAAATGTTCATGAAGAATTCTAGACTTGAGGGATGCACACAAATTCAAACAGGTGAGAAACTCTTTTGCGGTACCATTTGTTACAAGAATTTTACTGTAAAAAGTCATTTGACTTCAGTGATGAGAATTCCCACTGGAGAGAAGCCTTTTGAATGTCCATCCTGTGGAAAAAGCTTCATCTCTAAGTTAGATCTTAATAATCATATCAGAATTCACACAGGTGAGAAACCTTTTTCCTGTGCCATTTGTAACAAGGATTTTACTAAAAAAGGTAGTTTGACTGCTCACATCAGAATTCACACTGGTGAGAAACCTTTTTGCTGTACCCTTTGTAACAAAAACTTTACCGTAAAAAGTCATTTGACTTCTCACATGAGAATTCACACTGGTGAGAAACCTTTTGAATGTCTGTTCTGTGGAAAAAGCTTTACTCAGAAGTCTAATTTTGATACACACATCAGATTACACTCAGGTGAGAAACCTTTTTCCTGCACCATTTGTAACAAGAATTTTAATGTAAAAAGTAGCTTGACTAATCACATGATAATTCACACAGGTGAGAAGCCTTTTGAATGTCTGTTCTGTGGAAAAGGCTTCACTCAGAAATCTAATCTTGATAGACACATCAGATTACACTCAGATGAGAAACCTTTTTCCTGCACCATTTGTAACAAGAATTTTAATGTAAAAAGTAATTTAACCAATCACATGAGAATTCATACTGGTGAGAAGCCTTTTGAATGTCTGTCCTGTGGAAAAAGCTTCACTCAGAAATCTAGTCTTGTTAAACACATGAGAGTTCACACAGGTGAGAAGCTTCTCCTGAATGATCTGTGACCAAGCTTTTAAAGGAAAAGTTCATTTGAGTATTGAGATGATATTTATTCATGCATGATCTGGAATGATTTCTATTTTAAAAAAACATTTTTTTCACGTTAGTCACAGCCATTAGACACCACAGGAATGAACAGTAGAGGCGTTTTCCATGTTTGACTGGTGATAAAATGTCCATCTATTAAATCCTTCACCTCATTACATGAGAAACTCACAAGTTTCTCTTCTAGCGGGTCAAACTTCACGAGTTGTTTTCCGCAATTTCGGTCATAAAAACAAAACAAACCGGCCTCCTGTCTGCTGCACTGTTTGCGGTCAGCTACAATCTGGGAGAGGAGCAGCGGAGCGTCTCTCAGGTGGGCGGTGACGTCGACACTCTGAAGCCTTCTTCTTCTTTTTTTTAATAGCGGTTGGCAAACAACTTATAGGTGCATTACCGCCACCTTCCAGAATGGAGTATGGACCAGACAAACTATTATATTCTCCCTAAAATACCCGTTCTTCTTAGAAAATTAAAAATACTACCAAAAACTTTTATTCCTGTCTAACTCTCTAAGCAACATCTCTCTTTCCTGAGTATATTTATTACATTCTAAAAAAATATGTTGGACAGTTTCTCTGGAGCCAAGGTATTGCATTGAACTCATTACACTGATATTGTGCAGTATTTTTGCAGTATTTTTTGATGCAGCTTTTCTACTTCTGTTATTTGCTGTTGTTTCTAAAGAAAATGCATAATGATATTACAGCTTTCATTGATTTATTTCAAACCTGAAACTTTGTTTAGCCTGTAAGGTGTTAAAAAATAATAATAATAAAAAAAAAATAACCGATTAATCGAATCGAATCGTGGTGTATTCTTGAGTATCGAAAATAATTGAATCGTTGGGTCAGGAAATCGATACTGAATCGAATCGCCATGATGGATGTGATTTACACCCCTAGTTTGCTGTCCATACAACATACAATTAAGAAGTTATAGATGTTTAAATAAAAAATAAAAAAATTCAGACGAACCCCTGCTGTGCCATTTTGGCATGGTGTGGCACACCTTTTTCTGAATGAATCTATTCAGAAAAGAAAACTCATGTTTTATTTTTGGGACTAAGAACCTTTTAGTTGAATGATAAGTTATCGGTTGGAAATATTCCAGAAACAGACTTTTATTCAGATGAAAATATCCTCAGATAAATATAAAGGCAAAGCTAGGACAGATTTAATGAGCTTTGCTCAGTGTTGCTGATGTTTTTGGAGGATTTTCTAAGAGATCAGCTGCAAATGATCAGAGTTTAGCTAATTCAGTGTCTTGTTGGCTTTCATTAGCAATGCATCAATCAGCCCTGCTACGTGTGTTGTTGAAACCAGGCCCACCAACACTCCAACTGCTTTTGGCCCAGTGTTAGAGCTATGGTCAATGGATATTAGAATGAAGTAGATCATCTATAGAGGAGTCTCACATGAAGATTTGGGACATATATAAGTGTGTGTCAGTCTCAGAGTTAGTCAGCTACAAGCTAATTAATGTTGCAAAGTAGCTCCAGCCACCTTGAAAGGGGGTGCTGGGATTATGGGGTTAAACTACGGGACATCAAAGAACTCAGTTTAGAGGCTGGAGTCTGTAGTTCAGGTAAATTGAAGTCCTAAAATGATGAAACATGTTTGTTTAAAAAGATAAACAGGATTGATGATGTTGATGTTATTTTTACTGATCAGTTTGAACCTGCTTTAACTTGGTAAAAAACTTTGTCCTTATAAGTATTAATATAATAATTGAAGGTATAATTTTCCTTTGAACTAATTCTAATAGTTTTGATCTTGATTCTGTAGATGTTTTACTTTTTATGATTGAAAGTAATTATAGCCTATTTTATACAGATTTTCTGTATTATATTCTGCTGTGGATGTTTTTGATTATTGTAATCATTTCTAGATTGATGAAAAAGCTGATATAAAAACCTCATGAATTGTAAAAATTTCTGTCTTTATTTGGTTTCATATATTCAAGTTTTTCCACATTTTCTCTGATATTTTTAAGACAAACTAAACTTCTAATATCAGTTGTTTATTGGAATTTACCTTCTGTCTGGATGACCGGGGAAGTTAGATCAGGAAATATTGTAGGAATGTAGTCTGGACTGAGAGGGTTTTTGCTATTTGCACCTGATTAACAAATGTTTCAGTTGATATAACTAGGTGTGTCCAGTGCCGCTACAACCAAGCAGCCAGTAGAGTGAATGGTCAATGTGCTAGTACTATACCTCCATTTGTTCATGCTTCATATCTCTTTGGTAACAGAGTTATTTATCCCTTTGACTGTCTGATAACAGCCTTTCACCCTGGAATCTGTTGCGTATCTCATGTTGTATCATAAATCATGATGATTTAGGACATAGGTAATCAATGTCCAGGCTTTATAGTGAATATATTCAATGGGTTAGGAAGATTGCTTCCTGATTAAGCAAATCATTTAATAAAACATCTTTTATTCATCTCTTGGATTAGCATTGTGAATTGATTTGAAAACTTTCCAATTGCTCTAAATCACTTAATGCTAATTTGATCGAATTCCAAATTTTCAGGACAAACCTTTGTTCTCAAACACAAAATCTATGCTAAGCTGTGAAAACATCGCATCAACTCATTGATTATGTTTTATACCCACGTGTTTCCTTTGTGTACATAGTAGCTTAAATTAGTTGAGTTTGACTAGCACTATCAACAGTTTTAATTGAAATATGTTGTATACTTGGAGCTGAATTATTTTTATTAATACACTCTTATATTTTGAATGGAAGTTGTGGTGAATTTATTCCATAAATGTGCAGATTTATCCATGATTTGAGCTCTATTCACACTTTCATTGGTTGTTCTAACACAAAGCCAGTAGGGTGTGTGTTCATAAACAATATATGGCAGCCTGATTATTCTCTGAGTATATAACTAGTTTACCCCCCGCACTCAGGTGGGCAATAAAGATATTAAAGTTGCATAACACTTGCCACATTCTGCTGTTGCTTGTAGCGGATGTGCAATACCCCCAAATGGTCCATAGATTCTTAAATGTTTGTGGCAGCCTGCATGGAGCTTGTGGAAAGGAGTGATCTGATCCCAGTCAGTTAAAGGCATTTCCCTCCAGCCAAGCAGCCAGGATGCATTATCAATCAGAGGCATAGTGAATTACCCAATACTCATAGGCGGATCTACTGGGGTGGCATAGGGTGGCAAATGCCACCCTATGCCACCCCAGTTGGCGGTAGGGGTGGCGAGGCTTATAAATTATGCATCATTTGAGAATTACGACTGCTAATTTCCAATGTCAGACTGCAGTGAATGCAGCACGAGATGACGCGAGAGCGACTGAGACTGATTGTTTTGAAAACCGAATGGGGCAAAGCGAGGGAGCCAGGGGTCATGGGGAGAGGAGACACGGGATGAAACAGGTAAAAACTGATTAACTATCGAAAAATGAAATCATAATGAAAGCACAATGTTGCTAGCATAGCTGCAATGCTGATTTTGAGATGATAAAAATCAGGTTGCAGAACGTTATTTCTCTAACTATGATGTTAGTTAGGCCTGACGTCTCAGGCTCATAACGACATATTTGCGGTCAAATATGACAGAAAAGAGACGATCAAGTTTGGTTTTACTCAAACCAAAATGCACAAAGGCATTGGATCTAAATAAAGTTGTGAAGCATTTTGCTGAGCAACATGGAAATCGCTGCATTCAGCTGTTATAGTCATGTTAACTTTATGTTATGCTCTCTGGTGAGCCTTTACAGAGCTGTTACATTTTGTTTTGGCACCTGAGAAAATCTGATATTTCCTTTAATAAAACCAAAAGTGTTAAAAGTTAAAAATGTGATACTGGTGTGAATCCTGCTTAATATGAAGCAGCGTTGTTTCTTTTTTTGTATATATAATATGAAACTATCCAGAAATGACCCGTATGAACCTACTCACAAGGAAAATGTATTTTTTATGTTGCTTCTTTTCAGATTTGTGGAGATTTTGATGTAACATACAGAACCCGCCTTTTTGTTTATACAACAGTATGGAGGACCAACTCTGCCATATTTAAAAATAAATACAGAAATAAATAAATGCTTAATAAATAAATAAGCATACAATTAATTGCCACCAAAAATACAAACAACAAATAAATGTAAGTAGAAATTAAATTATACAGCTAGTCATAAAGGTATATAACTCTTTTAATTGGCTTCTTTATTTCTTTGCCTTTTTAATATTTACCTTATTTATTTTTTTGTCATTTATTATCTTCAACTTCATTTTTTCATTACTTATATTTTTAATTATTTATTTATGTGCATGTTATCATATTTTTGTCTGTTTTATTCTTCCTTTGTATTTTTTTACCCTAGTTATTTCTTCGCCGTTATTTATTTCTGCCTGCCCTTATAATATAATTTCTAATTACATTTATTTATTGATTGTATTTTTGGTGGCAATTAATTGTATGCTTATTTATTTATTGAGCATTTATGTATTTCTGTATTTATTTTTAAATATGGCGGAGTTGGTCCTCCATATACAGCTCTATCTACAGCATATTTACATGCATGAAATGTCCCTTTCATGTTGCCTTAACTGCTGTATGTCAAGTTACTAAGGAACAAATGGGGTAAATGTGTGTTCAGAGTAAACATTACATAGATGTCCAGTACCTTGTTCGGGTGCCTTGACCCATTTATTTCTACTGTGTAGTTCTGCTCACTTTAGTCCAGCTCAGTCCATAGATCTCTGATGGGAAACTTTTTCTTTCTATAGTTTCTTCTTGTGCAAATGCTGCAAAGCTGCCTCTCTGACAGTCAATCTCACACATCTGTTACTAAGCACCTGTGTCTTACCTTAATACCTTTCCTGTCATAAGGCCCCTCTAGAAGTAGTGTTATCATTCTTCTATCTCCTATTAAGTGAGATCTCATTGTACGATGTATTATTAATATGAACTGTTTCACATGAAACACTAGTACTGTACATACTACTCTCACCAAACTGTGATAACTGTGATTAAATTCAGTGTAAACAAATGCCATATGTTGCCACCCCTAAAAAATTCCTGCCCCCCTCTTGCCACCCCATAAATATTTTTCTAGATCTGCCCCTGCCTATACTGTCACAAGTACAAATACCATAGCTGCTGTAAAATCATACTACAATTAGGGGGCAGATTAAATATCTTATGCTAGGATTAATTTGACGTACAATAATGGAAATTTCCTCAACTAAAACAATTCGGAAACAGAGATCTACAACATAATCTATCGAGTTACAGAAAGAACTTTCAAAATCTGTACACGACACAATTAAGTCAAAACAGCAGAAGGAATGAAATTGTGGAAATAAATCCTCAAGAGATACAAAAGAAACTGCTTTTTACAAACCAGAAGTATTATGATACAGCGGGAAAAGCTTCGAAACTTTTCTCATACAGGTTAGGAAAACGGCAAGCAGAAAGGACAATACACAAAATTAGAAATCCATTGGAAGAATAAAAATAAAAATTGTATTTTCAGCTACAGTTAAGTGATAATAACTAAAACTAGAAAAAGCTGTTTCGGAGAAACAGCAAAGTGGGAATGCTTTTTTTGCTGAATGAAAAAAGAAAAATTAGCTAAAGAAACTGCAAGAAGGAAAAGAAGCACAAATTAGCTGAGGAACATATGAAAATGTGATAGGAAGTATCCAGAAACTTCAAACAGAAAAAAGTAGAATCATCTGAAGATTTTGTAGGGTAGAATCATTTGGTAGAATAATGGCAGAAACACTCTCATCTTAAAAGCGAAACATTTAAAGTTTTTTAACCCGAAGAAAAAGTCTAAAAGTATCTGTTTACCTGGAAGTTGACTGAAGCAAAGCATCTGCTTACGAGGTTAGCAGATGCATTATTAAAGTAGAAATGTTAGAGCTTCATTAAGAAATGTGCACTCAGGTGTGATGTCAACAGACCTTGGTTTTGTAATCTGAAGAAATTGGTTTAGTTCGGGTTAAACCTATGACCCATATGGCACAAAGAAAGAGTGTGCATATAAAAGAGTTGGAAGTCTACCATGGATGTGTGTCAAGGGAAGGGTCATGCCCAGGAGTGATATAGAACGAAATCACTGGTTTACCATGTTATTGGGTGAATAGATGCTGTATTAGAGCGTAAATGGGAGACTTTTATTGTGAAATTCGCTCCGGGGTATGTTTTGAAAAGGTCGCTAGAGTCGAATAGAAACAAGCTGGTGGACTTTGGGTCATAATGTTGAGTCGTTTGGATCAATTAAAACACAAGTATAATATGGAGGCTTTTATTTTGTAGGGTTCCCAGAGTCTTATTTTGAAAGTCTGGTAGGGTTGTGTGTTGAGAAAAGGGTCACACCACGCAGTGATACTTGATGAATTTCCAATTGTAAATCACTCTTTTTACCTGTATTAGGTCAATATATGACGTGGCACTGGGGGGCTTTTATTTTGAAATTTGCCATTGGGTGCGTTATGAAAAGCCCCCTAGAGTCAATTTTTTATAAGTGGTTGAGTTTGGGTCATAATGTTGAGCCACATATTGCAAAAAATATATAAGTATAATGAAAAGGCTTTTATTTTGTAGGGTCCCCGGAGTCTTATTTTGAAAGTCTATCAGGGCTGCGTGTGAAGGGAAGGGTCATGGCTAGTAGTCATATTGTATCAATTTCCAAATGTTAAATCAGTGTTGTCTCCCTCCATTAGATTAAAATGTGCTGTTTAAAGTGTCGGAGGTAAAATCCCTTTGAAGCTCTGTTACCTTGACAACGCTTAACGAGCCTGTCAGTGACAGAGAGAAAAGCGCAACAGTATTGTTCCTTTCCTCTCAGGCTTTTTTGAATGGGAAAATCAGCTCAGAACAAACGAGTGCTGAAGACAAACCGTAAATGGTATCTAAAAAATTCTTTCAGTCTAAGCGACAGCTATTCTTTGTCTCCGATTTGGGTAACTTTCATGGCTGTAGCTGATTCACAACCTTAATGGAATGGAGAAATAAAAAGGTTTGTCACTCCTGCTGGTCTCGTTAAATAACATGCAGCTCCATGGTAGAGCAGAGCTCTCTAAAGCAAAACTTCCCCTCCGAACAAACGAGTGGTGAGCCAAAATCGTAAAAGGTATTCAAAAAATTCTTTCACTGTTGGCGTCAGCCATCCTTCGGCTTCGACTTTGCCAACTTTCATGTTTCTACTAAAAAGTATTTGGCCACGGTGATGATGTAAAAATGTGTTTTTTCTGAGTATGAGGATTTTTCTCAGAATCAACGTTTTCCTATGCCCGAACAAGTGAGCTAAACAGCTAAACCATAAATGATATCGGTCTTTGACAGTGTACGTCACTTCCGCAAAAGCGCAATGCATTTACGGTAGTTAGCGCCATTTCTGTGGCGAAGAGACAGCAGCAACAAACAAAAGAAAACTAACAGAGAGTAGAAGTGTTCTAGTTGCTTCCTTTGGAAATAATGGGACACTGGTGCTGCGTCAAAGTATGCAATAGTAATTCTAAACAGAAAACAGCAGATGGTGCCTCACGGTTTTTCGTATTCCCCACTTGGAAAAAAAAAATACGGACCGCAGACAGAGGACATAACAAAGAGGTGTCGGGCTGCATGGGTCGCTGCTGTAAGAAGGAAAGACATCACGTTTCATAAAATATCTCCTCAAGCTCGTGTTTGCTCTCGGCATTTTCACAAAGGTAAGCCCTTATAAATATACACTAATAGAAATCAACACGCTGCAATGGTTTGCTTATGAAGTTGCAGGAGTTCATGTAGACCTACTGAAACATGCTGTGGAACAGAAGCGGAAAGTGATGTTTGTTTTGTTTATTTCTTTTTTAGACCGCTAAAATTTAATAAATAATGCATTCTCTGTATATAATCATTTACAAAATCTGCAATACAAATATTTTTTTAAAAAATGAAACAATATATATAAACACACTGTACATATAAAAACACTGTACATACCCACTCGTCAGCCAACTCACTGTATTTGTTCATCCTGTGCAATCTACTGAAGTTTATTTATTATAATCCTTTGTTCGTCTGTAAGCTTTTCAGTTTATTTACCGTATTTTCACGACCATAAGGCGCACCGTACTAAAAGGTGCACTCTCAGTTATGTATCCCATTTCTGTATTTAACACACACATAAGGCGCACCGGACTATAGGAGACGTTTTTTATATACAGGTACATGTCCTCTACTACCTTTAAATACCTCTACTGCGTATTTAAAAATACAGCGGGGGCAAAACTGAGTATGATTGTGCTTTATTCATGTATTTATTACAAAGTATTAATCAAACCTGGGAGCTGGCCGTGAGTCAGACACATCGCAGATGACAGAGCGCTGTGATCACTCCTAAATTAACTTAAAATCCTAAAACCTGCCGACGGAATATGTTCGCTTTTATTACCGGTATCCTGGTGCCTGCAGTTTAAATTATTTAGATGAAAAACACCTGCCAGCCACCAAGGTGAACCCGGAGGCTACCCAGCCTAGAGGCTGCTGATGAAGGGATTTCTACTGTCGGTGCACCGCTGGTATATGGGGGTCTGAGTGGCTCCGACAGAAATAGATAATCTGGATGAACTGACTGCAATTATTAAGTTTTCAGGTGGCCTTTCTCACTTAAAAACATATTAAAACTACTTTATTCCCACTGATTACAGCAAATATAGCTGCAAGATTTAGATTATTTAGATGAAAAAACACCTGCCAGCCACCGCGGTGAAGAGGAGGAGACCCGGCCCAGAGGCTGCTGATGAAGGGATTTCTCCTGTCGGCGCACCGCTGGTATGTGGGGGTCTGAGCGCCTCCGACAGAAATAGATAATCTGGATGAACTGACTGCAATTATTAAGTTTTCAGGTGGCCTTTCTCACTTAAAAACATATTAAAACTACTTTATTCCCACTGATCACAGCAAATATAGCTGCAAGATTTAGATTATTTAGATGAAAAAACACCTGCCAGCCACCGCGGTATACGCGGAGGAGACCCGGCCCAGAGGCTGCTGTTGAATTAAGTTTTCAGGTAGAAAAATAGAGCGGGAGCAAAACTGAGTATGATTGTGCTTTATTCATGTATTTATTACAAAGTATTAATCAAACCCATCAAAGTCATCATCCTCTGTTTCTGAATTAAACAGCTGCGCTAATCAGACATGCCAGTTCTTCGCTATCAGAGTCACTTTCCATGCAGCGCGGCTCCTCAGAAATAATGCCGGCTTTTGCGAAAGCTTGAACAACAGAGCCAGCAGACACGTTAGTCCGAGCATCTACAATCCATCCGCAAACGGTGGCGTAACTTGCCCGGCGCTGCCTTCCAGTTATCCTGAAACTGTGGTCTCCGTCTGTCATCCATCGCTCCCACGCCGCTCGCAGCCTTACTTTGAACGGCCGCTTCACACCGATGTCGAGCGGTTGAAGTTCCTCTGTCAGACCCCCGGGATAACGGCGAGCACAGCGTTCATTTGATTCACCTTTTTTTTCACATCGGCTGTGAGATGGGCACGCAGCGATGGTGATGCGTGGAAAAAACCACCTGGTCTCCTCACATACACCTGCCTCAGCCACGCTTTCATCAACTCCTCATCCATCCAGCCTTTTTCATTTGCTTTAATATCATATGTCATCAGAGCGCTGTGCCTGTCTCGCTGTCAGCTCCCAGATCAGCTTCTCTGATTGGTTGATGCGGCGCATCCAGCAGCAAAACTTAAATTTTTCCGTAGCAGCAGCACGCGTTGGCGGTGCGTCAGATGCTTAAACGCTTCCTGACGCGCTGCGCCTGCTGCTCAAAACGCGCTGCGGGACCTTTTGCTGCACCTATACGCGCGTCAACCATTGACTTTGCATGTAAACTCGCTGCTTCTGCTGCACTTGCTGGGTCCGGTTCACACCGATGTCGAGCGGTTGAACAGCGAGCACAGCGTTAATTTGTTTCCCCATGTTTTTCACATCAGCTGTGAGATGGGCACGCATGGAGTTACATATTAACAGCGATGGTGATGAGTGGAAAAAAAACACCTGGTCTCCTTACATTCAGCCACTCTTTCATCATCTCCTCAATGAGGTGGTCTCAGAAGTCGCAGTTACAACACACATAGGGCGCACCGCACCATAGGGCGCACCGCACATTTTGAGGGAAAAAAAATATGTTTAAGTGCGCCTTATAGTCCTGAAAATACGGTATTTACCTCTGGCCTTACTAGTCCGATGTACTTGTGCTGTTTCGGTATAGCAAATTTCCCCACTGTGGGACACATAAGGTTATCTTATTCTATTACACATCTAATCTAATGGGCTCTGTTATTAAGGTGCTTTATATAGTGTTTTGAATAAAACACTCAACCTTTCATCTACTTTGCAGGTCAACCCACATATGAGATGATGGAGACTGACCCAGACTGGGCTCCATCCCTTCATCTGGGCCACACTGACATCAAACCAACAGACACAGACCGCTCTTTAAGATGTGGTTATCGGGAACAGCTAAAAAATAATGCCCTGCAAGCAACTGAAACGGGGCTCCATCAGGCTGATGAAATCCTTGAGCGCCAGGATGAAGTTACACATGAGGCGACAGAGAACCCCAACCAGCAACAGACTGACACGCAGAAGGCTGCTGAAAACGTTGGCCGGCCAAACACCAAGGATGACACAGAAGGTGGTCGTCAGGAAGGACAGACAGAATGTAACCTGTGTGTGCTCAGGTGTGCAGAGATGAACCGTCTTTTGGAAGAAAACAGAGAGCTGTGGCATGAACTTGATGAGCTGCAGATCTCTGATGGCTTCTTTGGAGACAGTAATGAAAAAGTCAAGTACTATACGGGTCTACCAAACTTGGCAACCTTTATGGCTTTGTTTAATTTTCTGCTGCCTCTCATGTCTGCTCAAAACAAAATTCTTAGTCCATTTCAAATGCCTCTGCTAACCTTCATGGTTCTGAGATTGGATCTGCCCTCAAAACACCTTGCTTAGCTCTTCCGTGTTTCACCAAAGACAGTGTACAGAACATTCAATGAAATGGTGACATTTTTATATGCAAATCTAAAGCGTGCAATTGTGTGGCCAGATAGACACCTTGCACAAAATTATGCCTCATCAGTTTGTGGAGGCCTTTGGACATAGAGTCACAGTGATTATTGACTGTTTTGAAATTTTCACAGAGAAACCAGCTAATTTGAAGGCACGTGCCCAGATGTTTTCCTCCTACAAGCACAATCATAGTAATGTAGTGTAAAAATGAATGTTAGATCAAGTACTGTTTCAACTTTATTATTTTTTTCACACAAATAGAATTTTGCTTTTTTTAAAGTTACTTTTGAAAAAATAACAGCAAAACAAATATAAGTTTCACCATCACTTCAAATATTAACAATGTTTCTGAAGTTGTAAAAATGTGTGTACAATAAAGAGTGGAGTTTGAAATTTGAAACAAGCGTTGTTATTATCTTCTCAATCAAGCAGAGAATTTATGAAAATGCAATACAAAATCTCAAATACATAAATAATGCAGAGCAGTGCAAAGCTTCAAATGTTTTACTTTGTCTTTCTCCCTTGTATATAGCAGATTGCTCTTTAGATTAAATTAGAAGATTTTCATTTTCCCTGGACTTGTTTTCACTGTGGTCTGTGGTCTTCCGTAGAGATATGACCTAACAGGTGATATCTGTGAAGAAGACTGCAGATCCCAGTGAAAACAGGCCTTGGTAAAGTGAACAGCAAATACAGTGTGCAACTTATCAATGTGCAAAAATTATGACAAGTGTTTTCGTTCAGTCTGATGAGCAGCACAAACTACTCTAATAACTGCAGCTATCTGTGCAACTGCCCACAACATCTGCCTTGTCACTGACTTATGACATTCTTAGACTTTTTTTCTACTGTTTGTTGTTGTATCTGTGGTTTGACATGTTTTCACCTGAGTTCCTCCAGGTGCAGCAATCTCTTGAAGAATCTCCTGTCTTCTAACCAGAGTGAAATAATTACTCACAAGTTCTGGAAGGCACACGCAGTTAAAAAATTGCTGCGCCTTTTTAAGGAGAGCACTCCAGAGCTGTGCATCTGGCAAAATACGCACCACAGCACATTCCTTTTGTGTCCACAAAACAAAGTCACAGTATTTTGAGTGTGTAACAAATATTTATTTATTTCCCTAGCAGCTTTTTAAAGTTTGTCTGGGTAGGGTATCCGTTCAGTTTTCTTGTTCTTTTCCATTTAACTGATAATCCTCGCTGCTGGCTTGCAGCGCTCTCCTCCCGTTTTCTGCTGTTTTGTTTTTCTTCCGCTCACCACAAAAATGGCGCTAGGGGGCGTGTCAGTCATATGACTGACAAAGACCGATAGAAAAAATTCCTTCAATGTGAGTGCTAGAAGGGTCTGAAGATGTTCTATAAAAAGTGTCATGTTTGTACATCAAACAGTTTAGAAATGGGAGCGATACGAAAATTTGTATCGTTTTGGATTTGGTCTATGATTTTTGGAAAGTCTCATTGGATGTCTATTGGGGAATCGTGGACTTCTTCGCGGTCTGGGCCAAACTGTCGGAAAACTGTAGATGCCACACAAATAAGGGTTACATTTCCTGAATCCTGACAAAAATACCTACATTTTGATGTGAAATTGCATAAGCATTCCCACTTGATAATGCTTCGCTGTCCTCATTAAAACTGCCAAGGGTTGCTGATATAAAAAATAAAGACTGATATCAAACATCACAACAAAGGGGTTTTATCAGCTGTTAAACGACTGAAAACAGGGAAATCTTTTGGAATAGATGGCTTCATTTCAGAGTGATGGACATTTATGCAGGAGGAACTGAGTAATGGAGAAACAGGTAATTCCTTCTTCATGGAATGAAGCCGTCATTTCTATAATTCCAAAGGATAACGGGGAGAAATTAGAATGTAGTAATTATCATCCAATCAGTGCATTGAATATTGATTATAAATTGTTCACTTCTAATTTGTCTTAAAGATTCTAAACTATTTAACCAGACCTCATAAAGGTCAGACAAGTTTTATTAGACAAGGACAAACTCAAGATAATATTCAAAATCCCCTGCACATTATGAACCATGTTAATCAGCGGAAATTGAAAACCAGGATTCTAAGTTTAGATCCTAAAAAGCATTTGCTTGGGTATGTTGGGTATTTCGATTTAAATGTATATGCATTTTATTTTCACCCAAAACGTGGCTGATGATGCTGCATTGTTCATAGGGTTGAGCTGTATACTCGTTTCAGATGAGTATCCGTTACAGATAAAGGATTTTTGATGAGAACGACCATGAAACGAGTAAAACTCATCAATGCTTCTGCTGCAAAATCCTTTATAAATAACTGAATGTTTAGAAACTCATGGTTTGTAATTGGCCAATCACACAGAAACTGTGTGACTGGCTGAAGCTGTCAGTTCAGACAGATGATCACTGCTTTTCGTTCACCTTTCATCAAGTGACTCTGGCTCCTCACATGGTGCCTGCGCCATTTTTGTTCTTTCTCACCCCCCAAAGCAAACCCCATGATGCTTTGCGAGGAGAGTTCTTGGGAAGCTTTTTGGGATGTATCTGCTCGTCTAGTGACCAACGATGCACTCCTATATAGTGCTCTATGTAGGGGTTAGGGCAGATGTTTAAACACAGCCACAGTGTTAGCAGGGTGAGGATCCTGAGGAGACACGGACTTCCAGTTGGTCACATGACCAGCTGACTAACAGCTGCTTCACCAGATTTCAAACCTCCTGTTGTCCTTATAAGGAGTTCTGTTTAGGATGTTGTTGTTGAAGAGTATAGAAAGAGCAAAGCAGAGAGAAGATGTGACTCATTCAGACCAGAAAACGTGGCTTCATCTGCTGTGAGATCAGCCCAGACCGTCATACTGACAGTCAAACACATTGGTTGTGGTGTGTTGGTCTAGGGCTGCTTTGATACTTCAACTGAAGGAACCATGAAGTCAGAGCTTTAGCAGAAAATCTGGAAGTACAAGATCTGGCCATCAGTTTCTGATCTTCAGCTCCAGATCACTGAGGACAGTTCTCCAAAGTCCATGACAAAGCCCTCCTCTCAGAACCAGAACAGACACACTGAAGCTGATGGAGTGTCCTAGTCAAAGTCTAGATTTAAAGCTGACCTTGTGCCGTTACCTTAAACTGGTCCTTCATGCTGGAAAACCCTCCAAGGTTTCTGACTTCAAATGATCCAATCAGAGTGGGCCAGCATCCCTCCACAGTGAAGCTAAAGACCCATTAGCAGTTTTCACAAACATTTCATGTCAGGAGCCACACAAGCAGTTAGCAGGTTCAGGATGGACTGACTATTCCACATAATGGCAGTGTAGGGAGCTGAGTTTCTGTCCCAGAGGGTGGAACTTTCAGAGTTCAGGTACTTCTGCATATTTCTGGATATTTGCATCATTCATTGTCTGGTTTTAATCCCTGTTTTATCCACCATATTATTCATGTGTGAATGGAGACAGCTGCGTTTACGGTGAGAGTCCAACCAGATGCTGTCATGTTTTTAGACCTCACCTTGTTGAACATGATTAATGGTTGGAAATCTGTAGATATCCTCAGATTTTTCTATGAATAATAGACTTTGCTGTATATCTGTGGCTGGAATGGGGCCCTGATGGATGGAGCTCAGCCTGTTTAATGAGTCCTTCCTGCCTCTGGTCCATCTTTACAGAGACTAACGGGACCAAAGCTCTACTCTCAGCTTGGCTTCAATCGCTTTTCTCTCTTCATCAATTCAACCATCATTTGAAAACTTAATTTTATATTTACTCTGGTTATCTTTAATTTTAACATTTGTCTGAACATCTGAAACATTTAATGAGGCAAAAAAAGCAGAAATCTGAAGGAGGAGGGTGCTGAGATGATGTGCAGCTGAGATCTCGCAAGAGCTGTGTGTGTGTGCGTAAGTAAAATGGCGACATACAGGTAATTCAAAAACAAACAATTCCAGTCCTGGTAAGTAAGCCAATAAATGTAAATAAAACAAAGTAGACATAAACTTCCACAATTGTACCGTATTTCCGAGGGAACAAACTGGAAGATGAGACCTTGACGAGCCTGGAGAGCTACATGGACGAGTGTTTTGACAACATCATAATGGGGAAGCCGAGGAATCCCACATCCACAAACACACCATCTACCAAACGAGGTCTAGTTCAACCAGTGCTGCTTCTACCTCTACTTTGTCTCCAGACAGGAGCTACGGCGACGTCGTGGAGTCCATCGACAAAAAGCTAACCAGCCTGGACACCCGCCTCGCCCTGGTAGAAGTCCTGCATTTTAAACACTTCCATCTACATCATTTTCACAACACACATCTATGTAGGGTATTTTCTGGGGGGTGGGGGTCAAGGTCACCGGGGGGGGGTTATTTTATGGGCCTCACCACGGTCGGCCTCCTCCTTCCCCTCTCGCATCTAGACCTCGAGGGCTCAGGGTTGTCGAAGGGGGGGGGTGCGCTGGCTCCGTCTATCTCCCAGAGGGGGGGTGGACTGTGCCGTACACCCCCTCTTGGTACTCCCAGTTTTAATTACATTTGAGAGCAACACGCAACAACACCACATTTGAGCAGGCGCAGGGAGGATCGGGTTCTTCTCACACCCCTGTTCTCCGGCTGCCGCCCAGAGTCTGGGGCCTGGAGGAAGAGTGAGCCACCTGGTCTGTGGTTTTGGCTGGGGCCGGCTGCGGGGCCTAGGTGGCCTGCCGGGGGCTGGGCTGTCGCCTCTGCTCTCCCCAAAGAAGGTTGGAAGGAGGGGCATGAAGTGCCTGGTTGAAGTAGTTTTTTTTTGGGGGGTGCGGTTCTTGTTAGGTGGCCTGCACGGGATGGGTGGGCCCCGTCCCGGGGGGGGCTCTTACTGGGGGTGTCCGGTCCGTGTGCAGGGTTGGGGGCCGGGCTCGAAGCAGGAATGAGATGGGTTGGTGTGGCGGTGTTGCCGCTCCCCTCCATCCGGATTTTAGGTTCACTT